AGATATATTCTTTCTTGTTTACAATGAATCCGAGAATGAGCGGAGCTAAGTTTGTGCACCTTCAGAGCGGATGGTCCTAGAGGAACGCTTACTATCAGCAACATCACGATTTTCTTGGATCGTGATTTTGTGAATACACAGATCAACTATTCTTCACATAGAGGTGAGCTTATTGGCATTATTTTCGCTAAAAGTGTTTAGTGAACTTGTAGATGACATCTACTACTTCATCGTGCTGCTTCGATATGGATGTGATGTTCAGCATACTGCGTTGGTAACAAGTGATGAAGGAATTAGAAAGAAGGTAACATCATACTACTCTCTTGCAGTCGTTGAGCCGAAGTTTAACAAGTAATCTTCAGGGTCTTCTCGAATTCAACTATTACCTCACACTCAAGGATCTGCCACCTGACTTTGTCTGTGCATTGGAAGTTTACGGGCTGGTGAGCTTCTGCATAAAGTGTTCTTCTTCAATTCTTTGCTTTTATAGTCTGATTACTGGTGGGCTGAAATAGACATTTTGATTTTTTCTAGTTACTGAGCTCCTTTATAGTTGTTATACCTTTGCACGCTCTTTCAATTCCTTGTTTTCATTGTCTCAATTTGATGTTTTAATTGTTTTAGAAAACTAAACGAGAACATATCTCGCATGAAGTAAAGTATCGGCTTGGAGCTTCAACCTTGAGTAAAAAGGTTAGCCTGTCGATTTCGTTTTCTATGTTTTTCATGATTGTTGAGTCAAACGCAAGAGTTTTTCTACATTGAGCGTGCTGATTCCAGATGTGGCAGGCATTCCTGGATGCTGTAAGCTGCTTTAAGATGTATTCTAATGTAAATTTAGGTTATAATAAGGAGTAGGAATATCTTCGAATTCATCACCTCGATATCCTCATATTTCGATTAACAACATGCAATTGTAGCAACGCACGAAGTTCTCAACCTTGAAATCATCACTTGGAGGGCCATCGGCTGTTGTGGAGCCAGCTTTCCAACTAGTTGGTAGGCTCACAATCGACATTGATACGCAGAATAGAAAACTGACGCTGCAAGATGTGATGGCGCCATTGGAAGGATCTGTACTTGTAAAAATGAAGAAGTAAGTTTTAGTCGTAGTGTTCTGAATTCGAAAATTACAACGAAGTTTAGGCATGCCACAGACAAGAGCCATACAATCCATCGTGGTTTTCTTTCCATGTATCAGCGAACAAGAGATGGTCTTGGAACTTGGACGAGGTATTCCAACCTTAGTCTGCTTTGAAGTATCCTGTATTCCTGCAGCCTTTAAT